TGGAACGAAGTGCCAAAAAGTTCTACAATATAGCCATTAAAACCACAGATGAAAGTAGGAGAGTATCTTGGTGGGGACCATGATTAAAAATGAAGCAAATTATATAATCAGATGGAAGTGACTTCAGAAGAGAATGCACAGGGAATAATGGCGGCAAAGCAAAGATCTGTCCTTCCTCTCTGACCCCAAGAGTCAATGGAGAGGCAAGAAAAGAAGACGTCCATTTAACTGGTTTTTAGAAAAAAAGTGATATCAAGTGAAAATAGGTATCCAACAAGAGAAAGTAGAAAAAGGTATGTTAGAGAGAGGATTCTAACTCTAAAGGGATTTGTTCACAACAAAGTGGCACTCAAGGGATACAGGGACTGCAGCTGTAGATGAGGCTATAGGATGAGTTTGTGAAGAAATAGCATGGGAGGTACCCTAATAAGGGCAGTATTAGTTAAAGGTATCATGGAAAATAGCTTGAAGGTACATGTTAATGATAAGGGAGGAGCAATGTTGAGTTGGAAAATCTGGTTTAAAGGCCAATTTATGCAACTTACCAGTGTCAAAGTTCCAACTAGAATGTTAGCATGATATAAGGTGTATCCTGTGTTGAGGAGATGGTATGGATGGTCTATTTTACACTTTAACCTGGTAGGTCTTTTCTAATTTCTGCATTTATTGTTGAGTAGAGTAATTATGACATCAGAAGGAAATTATCCAATCATGATTTCTGCTTTTCTTTTAAAATTTCTTCTCACTTTCATTAGTCTTTTACCTTTTCTCACTATCTAGACTTCTTCCTTGGTCTCACCTCTCCTCTGTTATATAGGTTCTGGTATATTGTTTAATGTACTAACTTTCTAACATCTTATTTTATATTTGAAACTAATTTTTTACAAATTTGGGGCCCAGAATCTTAAAAATACTTAACCAGGCTGGGCACAGTGGCTCACACCTATAATCTCAGCTCTTTGGGAGGCCAAGCTTGGAGGTCTGCTTGAGCCCAGGAGTTTGAGATGGGCCGAGGCAACATAGTGAGACACCATCCTGTGAAACAAAAAAGAAACAAATGCCCAACTGGAATATATTTTTTGTGTTGAATTACAAGTATCATAACATCAACTATTCACATTTTTGGAACGTGAACACTGTTTTCTGGATGACCACGTCATGTAGGCCTATTCTCTGGTAATGCCACCTTGTGACGTCACTAATGTCTATATCTATACAATGAGCCTCTCATATGCAGGATAAGGCAACATTTTAAAGCAAAACATGAAATTCTGTGACACAGCACCTGGAGAGACTGTGAGTTTAGATATATCTTGCCACTTTATTGTCAAGCTAAACATTATTCTTATTTTGTTAAAGCTTAATAATTAAAGCTTAATTTTACAAGGGAAATTTATATATACTGCTTTATTAGTACACATATCACACTTTGTTTTCAAACTTTACCGTAGCCCATTTAACAGGACTTGAACCCCAGAGTCACAAAATTACCTCTGCTATGATGGAGGAGGAAAAAATGCTTAGATAAGAGCAATTTATTGTGAATGGAGGAGGTGGTGAGTTTTGTCATGTTAGAGGCTGACTGAATCATGAGCAGGTCAAATGTGTCAAATGGTTTCATTGAGAGACTGGTTTTCAATACTCTAAGTTTTTATATACCATTAGCTTTGATGGAGAATTTGAAAAAGATTGCCCTATGTCAACAATGTTGCTCTGTTAAGTGTGATTTGTGAAGTACAAGCTTCTGCCAAGATTGTAATAGTTAGAAATTGCTTTTGATAGCAGCCTTCTGTTACAAACTTAATGAACAGAACTTTGAATGTTTGCAGCGTCTGTATTGACAAAAGGCCAAAGGCTTGTTGAGCCAGCTAACCGGCTTTTTACAATGCCTTGTCAAGATTGCAGATGCCGCCTGCGGAGACAACAGTCTTATTTGAGGTAACATTTTCATTCTTGAAACTCTTACATTTAATTTTGTATTCAATATTTGCCTTCTCATTGAATTATGGGATTCATAAAAACAAGGATCATATTCTCAGAATTTTGCATAATGTGTGGCATGTTATGGCCTCTCAATAAATGTTGGTTGAATGAATAATTTTAATTTAGGAAGATTACTCAAACTGTGCTAAATAATGATTGATTTTTCTATTAGTCAAACTTCAATTAACTATAAAAAATATAAGATGAGTCAGAAAAAACAAACTTCACAAATAGCTTAGCAATTTTATTCATTAGTTTCTACCTTCTCTTTCTTCAATAAACCTTTTTTCTGGAGATAATTCTGATCTGTCTCTTGAGGGATATGTAGTCAATGGCAAATGGTCCCATGGGTAGCAAATAGAAAAAGCCAAGAGTCTAAAAATTAACAAACTACACAATCAATCCCCAAAATGTTTGTATGTAGAAAAGTAGCATTTGGTTGTTTAAGACCTTTGTGTGTCACCTGTTAATCACTGGAGAGTTATTAAAATCCCAGTATTATTTCATAATGCAACACATAAAAATAATTCTGAGTGCTCTTGTAAAATGTTTCTCAAGCCGTATTTGAGGGGTTTACTTACTTTACTGGATATTGAACCTTCTTAATAATTCCATTCTAATTCCCTATTTATGATTCTGTGTGTATGCGTATAAGGAGGAACAAACTTACTTTGTTATGAAAATATTTTTGGAAAGATGATTCTCTCTAAAATAGAAAACACTAGAGGAATCAGTCAAGGAATGTCTATCAGGCTAGTAGCTAAAAAGCTGAAGTTAGTTGGGACTTAAATGACATGCAAACATTTAAAAATCAATAGTTCATTAAAGAGGTGTGTTTCAAAGTTAAGTATCGAGTGTTGTACTATAAACGTTTTCAAACCTTTTTAAGTATTGAGTGTGCTACAAACGTTTCAAGAAAAAAGTCACTAGGCATAGCTACCAACAATTATGCTCAATTCCTAGCCATTAAAATACAAAGACCTAAAAAACAATTTTGTCCCTCCAAAGTAAATTTGACTCTTCTAGTCACTTGTTAGAAGCAAAGGTGCATCACCTAGCAGGCGTCCCCAAACTACGGCAGGGGGGCCGCATGCAGCCCCCTGAGGCCATTTATCCTGGCCCTCCACCGCACTTCAGGAAGGGGCACCTCTTTCATTGGTGGTCAGTGAGAGGAGCACAGTATGTGGCGGCCCTCCAACAGTCTGAGGGACAGTGAACTGGCCCCCTGTGTAAAAAGTTTGGGGATGCCTGACCTAAGGCCATCAGGGTAACTACATAATCAGGTAATACATAATTCTGCAGACAATGCTGTGAAGTTTAGAATATATCCCTAGATATAGCACCCTCTTCGAAGTCAACTCAGCAGTTTTGCTTTGGCAGAAAAAACTACTTTTGGTTAGATAGGTGAAGCCAACCATAAATTGCTAAAATTTTTCTCTGAGGTGAGAGAGTTGGATGCAGGCATTCTATTTACAATGGCCACTATTTCGCAAACCCATCTTTAAAGAGAATGCTTCATAAATGTAATGTCGTGAGGATAGGAGAATAACAGGGGCCATTTTGTTAATATAGGGGTCCATGGAAAGATTTCCCTTCACTCTCTGAAGTTTTGCTGGAAAATCAAGTCACAAAAGGCAGACTAATAGGTGGAAAGGCTTACAAATTTATTTAACAACGTAGCACGAGGAAATCACAGTAGAATAATCACCCAATAACCCAATGAGGTACAGATGATGATATACCCATCTTTTTAGAGAAAAGAAGATGGGAATATGTGTGGAATTTTAGGAGGATAGTAAATGAATTCGATGGGCTTGAAGAATGTATCATGGCCTGGGACAAAGTCCGTTGGCCCTGCAGAGCAGACAATGGTTTGTGACAGAAGTCTGCCGGTTGCATTGACAGACTATAGCCCTGCTTCCTAAGATACGAGTTCGGTTACTGAAAACTCAGAAAAGAAACTTTCTTTTGTTTGTTTTACTTTAGTAGTTCTGGACTTGAGGCAGATAAGGGAAATTTAGAGAACAGCTTTATCCTGTGCTTTGGGAGAGAAAAAAGATTGAGAGGGAGGAGCTGGAAGAGAGGGGTATGCTCAGAAAGACCTTCTGGCTTCTTTGGTTTAGCATGTCGAAGCACCGTATTTTGGGAGACTGGTGTCTCCCAAACATTAAGAAACTACTCTCGGGCCGGGCGCGGTGGCTCAAGCCTGTAATCCCAGCACTTTGGGAGGCGGAGGCGGGTGGATCACAAGGTCAAGAGATTGAGACCATCCTGGTCAACATGGTGAAACCCCGTCTCTACTAAAAATACAAAAAAAATTAGCTGGGCATGGTGGCAAGTGCCTGTAATCCCAGCTACTCAGGAGGCTGAGGCAGGAGAATTGCCTGAACCCAGGAGGCGGAGGTTGCGGTGAGCCGAGATCGCGCCATTGCATTCCAGCCTCGGTAACAAGAGCGAAACTGTCTCAAAAAAAAAAAAAAAAAAAAAAAAAAAAAAAAAAGAAAAGAAAAGAAACTACTCAGTAACTACTGGCAGTACAGTGGTTAATTGTACTAATGCAAACCTATAACATTCTAGTGAGGTAGGTAAAAACCTCAGTTAAAGGAGTGGAAACAGAATTACAGAAATACGGAGTTTTGTTTAAATAAGGGAGAACAAAAGAACGCAATCCCATCAATTTTGATGCTGACATATATTTGAGGTATTAGTGGTGTTAACAGTTTTAACAGCGGAGCACCCAGGACCAGAAATTCTTCCCGAGTTTGACGAGTGGGAAATTACAGCAGAGAATCTGGAAGAATAATAGCCAATGGAGCAGGAAAAGCAATATTTAAATTAACTTCTGAGCCGAAATTGGTCATTTCAGGGGATGGACTTGGCAAAGAGACAGTAGCCCAGTTTTTTAGGAAATGGTGAGGGAGATTTTTCCGGGTTACTGCGGGATCCACAGAACGGAAGCTGCCTGACCAAAAGAAGAATCCCTCCCCGCTCCGCAGGGCTTCCTCCCTCCCCTCCAGGGGACCACAGGGCCCCAGGGGACCAGAGCTCTGCGCTGCCCGGTTTCCTTCGTCAGGGGCCTGGCAGGGAGGGCGGAGGCGCGGCTTTGCCAAGGGCAGCTGGGGCCACCCGGCTCTCACCGCCTCCTGCCCGCGTGCTGTCTATTGCTCTACAGCCCCGAGGCTCGCGAAGACAGCTGGCGCCCCAGGCTCGGTCCTCAGGAAGCCATGGCGAAGTCCCGGGGCCGTCTGTACCTTTGGATGTGCTTGGCTGCTGCGCTGGCATCTTTCCTGGTGGGATTTATGGTGGGTAAGTGAACAAAACACCTTCCCCTGACTCCGGGGCTCTTGATCCTCTGCAGAAATGAAGGGAGAAGTCCTGGAGCTCGAAGGGTTTGGGGTGTGCAGTAGCCCTGGCCGGCTGGGCTAGATCTGATGAACTCTAGAGATTTCTGCAAAACCAGATGGAATGTATTTTGGGGCTGCCTAATAGACAAACTGTGCTTGAAATCCAAGTTTATTAAATGTTCACTGAGTTCTGGGCCCCTGAAAAGACAACGTACAGCTGTCACTATCTGCAGGGGTGAAAAAACTCATTTTATTTCCAAGCAATATTAGTGAGTCAAAACTGTCAACTGATAAGAGCAGCGTCAAAAGCAAAACAAACAACAAAAACCCCTGCTCTTCATTTAAACAAATACTTGTGGAATGTTCCCTATGAGTCAGGGACTAAATGTCCAGGGAACAAGAAAGGCCATGTCTTGATGCATAACATGAGAAAATGGAAGTATTTCCCTTAAATAAAACTCCGTTTAAGCAGCTCAAAATTACATTACATATCAGAATTTACAGGTTTTCTGCATTTAATATGAACATTATTTTTTAAAGCTCACCATGATCTGTCAGATACAGGCTTTTTTGGGCTAAGGAGATAAGGGTGGCTTCACTTCTAGTTTTAATAAAGTCTAAGTGATTTTTTGTATGTGTGTGTATGTTTGTGTATTTTTTTCCCCTCAGGCTGGTTTATTAAGCCTCTCAAAGAAACAGCCACTTCTGTGCGCTATCATCAAAGTATACGGTGGGAACTGGTATCCGAAATGAAAGCTGAAAATATCAAATCATTTCTTCGGTAAGTTTCTTTGGTGTATTTGATCTTAAAAATCATGTTTAAAATGTTGCAAAGTGAGAAGCGTATAATAACTTTTTTTTTTTTTTTTTTTTTTGAGACGGAGTTTCGCTCTTGTTACCCAGGCTGGAGTGCAATGGCGCGATCTCGGCTCACTGCGACCTCTGCCTCCTGGGTTCAGGCAATTCTCCTGCCTCAGCCTCCTGAGTAGCTGGGATTACAGGCAGGCGCCACCATGCCCAGTTAATTTTTTGTATTTTTAGTGGAGACAGGGTTTCACCATGTTGACCAGGATGGTCTCGATCTCTTGACCTCATGATCCACCCGCCTCGGCCTCCCAAAGTGCTGGGATTACAGGCGTGAGCCACCACGCCCGGCCTTAATAACTTGTTATATGCATAAGGACAGTCTTCTCTGTGTGAAATTACATATTAGTCATTAACTTATTTTTTTAATGCCTCTTTAAACTATTCTTGGGGTGAAATCTGTTAGAATGTTACAAAAGTAGGTCTTATGTTCCTAACTTTATCTAACAAAAAGTGCCTGATTGGCTTATTGAGAGACGTTTCAACGATATGCAACTTTGGATCTAACTGAAGGTTATCCTTTGTTCTTCAGTGCCTGGGTTTTAATCAGCAATTTTTTTTTAGATATCATATTCTGCCAAAGAAAGTAGATGCTTGTTGACTAAGTGATTTAGTGGAAAAGTGATCAAAGTCTCTCATTCTGTTTGCCAAAAGTTAAACCTTTATCCCATCTTGGAAGTATAAATTTATTGTTTACAAATAAGACAAAATGAAACCAAAAAGAATCATTACAAATCCTCTAGCTTCGAAGCATGAAAAGCAGTGGCAATCAAGGGAGTGATTGTAAAAACTCCTTAAGAGCAATGACCATGGCATTTATTTCTGTATTCAGACTCTTTCAAATGAGTGTTATTTTAAAAAATCAGCTTTAGTGGAGTATAATTTACGTAAAATAGACTGCATCCCTACAAAGCCTATAATTTAATTTGAGAGTTGTGACAGATGTATATTATGCTGAACAAACCACCTCCTCCATCATGCTACAAAAATATTCCATCATGCCCTTTGTGGTTTATTACCCACCACCTTCCATCCCTGGCACTAGGCAATCACTGATCAATTTTAATGTCACTGGTGATTCATTTGCATTTTCTAGATTATTATCTAAATGGAATAAAATAGGTTCTTTTGTATCTAGCTTCTTTTACTCAGAATAATGATTTTGAGATTCATCTAGATTGTATGTACTAGTAGTTCATTATTTTTATTGCTGAGTAGAATTCTGTTGTATGGATATACTACAATGCATAGTTGGTGGAAATTTGAGTTGACTATAGTTTTTGACTATTGTGAATAAAGCTGCTATGAACAGATGTTTACAAGTCTTTCTGTGGATATGTGGTTTTCTTTCTTTTGAAATGGTTGGGTTTGATGATAAGCATAAGTTTAACTTTTTAAGAAAATGCCAAAGATAATTGAAAAGTGGTTGTACAATTTTGCATTTCTACACCAAAATAAGGAAATCAGTATTCCAAAGAGATATCTACACTCTGCTGTTTATCGCAGCAGTATTCACAATAGCCAAGATATAGAAGTAACTTGTATCCATCAACAAATACTATGGTATATATACAGGATGGATTATTACTCAGCCCCAAAAAAGAAAGAAATCCCATCATTTACAGCAACATGGATGGTCATTATGTTAAGTGAAATAAGCCAGGCACAGAAAGACACATATTGCAAGATCTCACTCGTATGTGGGAGCTAAAAACATTGATCTCATGGAGATAGAGAATAGAATGGTGATTACCAGAAACTGAAAGGGTAGTGAGGAGGGTGGGGATAAAGAAAGATTGGTTCAATGGGTAAAAAAATACAGTAGGTAGAAAGAATAAGATCTAGTATTACAGAGCACAATAGAGGAACTATAGTTAATGATTTATTGTATATTTCAAAACAACTAGAGTGTATTTGAAATGTTCCGAATGGAAAGAAATGATGTGTTTGAAGTGATAGATATCCTAATTACTCTGATTTAATTATTACTTGTTGTATGCTTGTATCAAGATATTACATGTATCCCATAAATGTGTACAAGTAGTAGGTATCCATAAAATTTAAAAATAAAGGAATAATTTTAGAAGTCTACTCATGGCTTTGGCCTATTTTCTGTTTAGATATATGTTCTTTTCCCCCTGTGGAGTTTTTTTATTTGCTGCTGTTGTTGTTTTGAGACAGAATCTCACTCCATCACCCAGACTGGAGTACAGTGGTGCAATCTCAGCTTGGTGCAGCCTCCATGTCCTAGGCACAAGGGATTCTCCCACCTCAGCCTGCTGAGTAGCTGGGACTAAGGCACACACCACCACACCCAGCTAATTTTTTTTTTTTTTTAAATAGAGACAGGGTTTCATTATTTTTCCCAGGCTGGGCTTGAACTCCTAAGCTCAAATAACCCACCCACCTCACTCTCCCAAAGCACTAGGATTAAAAGCATGAGCCACCATGTCCAACTCTCTATGGAGTTTTTAGAATTCTTTGTATAAAGTTCACTCTTGAATAATGCGGGCATAGAGTGCCGACACCCCTATGCCATCAAAAATCCACATACAACTTTTGACTCTCCCCAAACTTATTAATAGCCTACTAGTGACCTTAGCAATAACTTAGACAATTAACATGTATTTTGTATGTTACATGTATTAATTGCTGTATTCTTAAAGTGAGTTAGAAAAAACAATGATATTAAGAAAATCATAAGAGAAACATTTACATATTTACTATTCATGAAGTGAATGCAGATTATCATAAAGCTCTTGATTCTAGCGGTCTTCATAGTGAGTAGGCTGAGGAGAAGAAGGAAGAGGAGGGGTTGGTCTTGCTGTCTCAAGGCTGGCAGAGGCAGAGAAGATGGAGAAGCGGAGGCAGGAAAGGCAGGCACATTCCTTTTAACTCTTATACATCATGTCTGTTTTTTACTTTTTCTTTTCTCTAAAAATATTTTTATACAGTACCAGTTCTTCTTCCATCATTTGCTTTAGTGTTAGTGCCTGTATCATAGAAAGACCACATTGTAAAAGAAGGGACAAGCAGTTTTGAATAATGGAAACCCTTCTGCCAGACTGTCTAATATCAACTTGTTTTCTGGTATTGCTTCTTCTGTGTCTTCTTTCTCATTGTCTAGTACTGGTTTAGAAGTATTCATCTCCATCAAATCATCTTCTGTTAATTTCTCTAATGTCTGCCACCTTTTGATTTTTTCCAAGATAAATATCTTGAAACACTTCATCCCTCAACCTTTTTTTGCCATATTCACAATCTCTTTCATGGTTACCTTATTAGCTCTGTCATAAATCCGGTGAAGTCATATACAACATCTGCACACAGGTTTCTCTAGCAGGAATTTATTGTGTTGGGCTTGATGGCTTTCACAGCATTTTCTATAACAACGACAGCATCTTCAATGGTGTGATTCTTTCAGAATCTCATGATGTTCTGCCGGGGTTCTCTTCCATAGTACTGACAATCCTTTCCATAGAGTGCAATGAGCCTTAAAGATTCCTATTATGACCCCTTGATCTAGAGGCCAAATTAGAGATATGTGTTTGGCGGCAAGTACGCTACCAGATCTCAGGGTTTTTGGGTAGCAGAGGCGTTTTCCAATACGAAAAGAACTTTTTAAAAGGCAGTCCCTTCCTGGCAAGGTATTTCCTGCCTGAAGGAACAAAGTATGGGTGGAACCAATCTAGAAAATGGGTTTCCATTGTCTAATCCTTGTACAACCAAAAGACTGAAAGCTGGTGTTTATCTTTTTTCTTCAAGGCTTGGGGATTAGCAGCTTCCTAGGTAAGGGCAATGCTGATCATAAACCCGACTGCCTTTGCACAAAACGGTAGAATTTGCCTATCTCTTCCTGCCTTAAATCTCAGGGCTTACATCTCTTCTTTACTCATAAATATCCTTCATAGCACCACCCCCCCACCTTTTAAATTTGCATTAAAAAACATTTTCAGGCAGATATCCTTTCTTCTCAGTATTGAATATATAGAATTATAAATGTACAGTTTTTCGCTTTTCTGTACTTTAAAGATGTTACTCCATTGCCTTCTGGCTTGCATACATTTTCTGCTAAGAAATCTGTGATAATTTAAAAAAAATATATATATATATATATTTTATTGCACTTTAGGTTCTGGGGTGCATGTGCAGAACATGCAGGATTGTTGCATAGGTACATACATGGCATTATGGTTTGCTGACTCCATGCCCTGTCACCTTTATCTGGCATTTCTCCCCCCATTATCCCTCCCCAATCCCTACCCCCTGCTGTCCCTCCTCCAGTCCCCCACAACAGACCCCAGTGGGTAATGCTCCCCCACCCTGTGTCCATGTGTTCTCATTGTTTTACACACACCTATGAGTGAGAACATGTGGTGTTTGTTTTACCGTTCTTGCATCAGTTTGCTGAGAATGGTTTTCAGATTCATCATGTCCCTACATCGGACACGAACTCATCATTTTTTATGGCTGCATAGTATTCCATGGTGTATATCTGCCACCTTTTCCATGTCCAGTCTATCATCTATGGGCATTTGGGTTGGTTCCAGGTCTTTGCTATTGTAAACAGTGCCACAATGCATGTATCTTTATAATTGAACGATTTATAATCCTTTGGATATATACCCAGGAATGGGATTGCTGGGTCAAATTGAATTTATATTTTTAGGTCCTTGAGGAAGCAGCACACTGTCTTCCACAATGGTTGAACTATATTACACTACCATTAACAGTGTAAAAGTGTTCCTATTGCTCCACATCGTCTCCAGCATCTGTTGTCTCCAGGTGTTTTAATGATCACCATTCTAACTGGAATACTCTCAGGACCTGGGCCGCCTCTCCCTTAACCCATCTTCCATTGTAGGAAAATGCTTTTAAGGTTGTGAGATTTGCCACTGATTAGTTGGACCCTGGAAC